AAAGCGGTCAAGCCTCCTTCCCTCACATGTCGATGCGTTGGTGTTCAAACCAAACCAAACCAAAAATATGGAAAGGTGGACGTTATCGTGGAGGACAGCGAATAAAGTGTTGCGCACTGGATTTACGTGGCATTTATGTAAACAAGAGTTTTTTGTTGTCGATTTTGGTGAGTCCAGTTACTGTTTGTTATTTACTCAGCCATGTAACACAAATTAAAATGCAGTGTTTAATGTTACTGTATGAGTTCCAATATAAAATACAGTTGTACACCTCTCTTTGTGTGTCTTTATTATTACGTAACGACTAGTCGACTAGTCGACTACTATTTTGAAAAATGTGTCGACTAGTAAATATTGGTAGTTGTGAAACCCCTACTACACAGAGGAGGGATGAGAGTGTGGTTTTTCTCTGGACGACCTGCTATTTGCTGGCTCGCTCCAGGGAGGAAGTCGCTTTACAGACGGTACATCTCGTATCGCATCTGTCAAAGCCTGGGTTTCATAATAAATTGGAAGAAGAGCTGTCCTCTTCCCTCTCAGACAATCGTTTATCTGGGAGTGGAGTTAAACTCAGCCAGCATGAGAGCGCGATTCTCGCGGCAGCGAGTGGAGGAACTGACAGCTCTCCTCCGGCGTGTCACAACCCACACAGCCCTCTCCGTGACGCAGCTGCTCTGCGTTCGCGTCAGCTGGTCACGTGATGATCCCCATGGGTCTCTTCCAACAGGGGGACTCCAGAGGTGGTTCATTCGCTGCAGAAGCCTGCTGTTTTTAACCTATTGGTTTATAAACTGCAGAGCTCGCGGCATTCCTCTGTCCCAGATATGCCTCCTACACACGGTCATAATAACCCACGAGCACCGTATAACCGCATAACGCCTCGTCGTGGACAGCATGCACACACCTATCATCCCCTGGGCGTGTACGCGCCTCATGATGAGAGACGGAGTGAAATGCAGCGTGTGGAAACTTCCTCGCAGCCCTTTTGCCTCACGGGCAGCGGCGGTGATGGCGTGGCTCGTCACCATGACGACCATTACGGCACATCACAGAGAAGCCTCTCCCCCCCAGCAGTTACATGGGATACAAGAAACACTCCTGTCATCCCAGGAACAGTGTCTTGCGCGGTTTTTACTCCGCTATTTTTCTAAATCTCTCGCTCTGCCTGTGTGGTCGCCGTGTCGCATCGTCGGGTGCTATGCGCCCACGTGCGCCCTGCCTGTCGCGTATTTCTCAAGCACTTTTTTTCCGGTTCGGTTTCGTGGATAAAACAGAGATGATGCGGATCGGGCAACGCGGCTGTCTGCATAACTCAAAGCTACCATGTCATGACAGGTATAATGTGTGAGGCTGAGTCAACAGGCATGTATCCTCTGCGGGCTGAGTCACCCCGGACACATCAACGCGCATTACATCAGAGGATCTTGCAGCTCCACGGCTTGCACTGAGGAAATGTTGAGTGGAGAATAACTGCACTCGCTAGAAACTCTTGGTCCTTCCCCCCTGTTCGTTTATCATTTTTATTTGAGGATGTCTCCATTCCTCTCTGACACACCCTGTAACTGGGTGTCCCTCGTCGGAGTGAGTACTGAGAACCTGAGGAGTGGCACGCCCAGGGCTTTGCACGGAGGAATGTCAGTGGAAGACATTTGCACTGCTGCATCTTGGTCTTCCCCCTGTTCATTTATTCCCTCGTATGAAGGGATGTTTCCTTTTTTTCCTCTGACACATTTTTGGTACGGAGTGTCTTGTCAGAGTGAGTGACGTCAGGGATCCAGCTGGGCGCTTTCCTGTCTGACACGCAGAGTGCTGCTGTTCCCCTTCTATGATCGCTGCGGCAAGGTGGGACCTTCGTCTCCACTTTCTCACAGCGGCTGGTATGTATTGTTCCCAGCCTTCATCCCGTCGGGAAGATAGGCATGTTTTGCTATGTTCCAGGGACGGTGATGCGCCATTACGGATGGCACAACAGGCATGGGGTGTTATTGAGCAGGTGTGTCTGTGCTTCTAGTGCCGGGCGGACCCAGTGGGGCGCAGACTACATCATGCTTCGCCCTTAACCCAATAGTGATAGCCTTAGAGGGCGAAGCCATATACGAAATAGAACTGAGGTTACCTACTGTAACTCCAGCTTCTATGAGTAAATGGCGCAGCCCTCTAAGCGCTGGGCCCCACTGGCTCTACGAATAGCTGAAGAAAAGTTATTTTGTATGGGAGCAGATTGCCGGGCCTCCTTCCTATTTATACCGGAAGGAGGCCCGAGGGCGGGGTCCACCTTGCGGGTGGGCGTGGACTACAAGTGTTTCAGTGCTGCGCAGGGGGATTACCCAATAGCGATAGCCTTAGAGGTCGCGCCATTTACTCATAGAAGCTGGGCTTCCAGTAGGTAACCTCAGTTATCAAGCCAGTGGATTAGGTCTCCTTTTTATCTGAAAAAAGTATGTCATTTCATATGATGAACAGCACCATGAAAAAATCGAATGCTCTTTACTGTTCACTGTGAGCTTTACTGTGAGTGGGGAATTGGAAATATGACAGTGATAACAAAAAGACATTCACGTGAGTACAGTCAGGTTTTACTACTTTTACCCAACCATGACGGGTTTCATTACAATTACTTTTTTTGCAATTAAAGGATCCACAAAAGCAACACAGTGTGTCTTTGAAAAAAAGCTGTAAAGTCACTAAATGCAATGCTAAGCTGCAGTTTTCTCTGCTAGCATCACTAAATTAATTTGAAAGGAAGTCCTTAAGCCTTGATTGTTCACTGCAAGTTCATTCATTCTTTTAAGAGGACGTGACATATCGCTGCATAGGTTTGTTACATATTCTAGTCAGAAGTGTAACTGAAGCAGTGATTTGGGGCACACTGAGAAATGGGTTTGTCCATTTTAAAGCTTGTGCTCATTAAAGAGTTGAATGTATTATTCATGCAGGCAGTGTTTATGTCAAGGGGTGATACTAATGAAATGACTTATTAATATTATCCTCAGATTAATTGGAATTCAAAACTTTGAAAATGTGCTAAAATTGTGCTATTTTAATCCTGTCACAGACAAAAGAAAAAACTGGTGGTGGAGCAATCAATCACCGGATCCAAGTTCGAAAACCCAAAAGTGAATTGTTGTTTTTTTTATACACATTTTTTTTAATGTCTTGTAATTGCACTGTTGAGGAACCTGCGATCTAAGTATGTCTTACATTACATAGATACACAGTAGTTGAGCCACCCCATCTCCTTTGTTGTGGAGATCAACTCCTGGTGCGTGGCTCTCCACACCTGCTCCCAATACTGCCAATTTGCTGCTGACTACCCTGCCTCTCAGACCCTCACACCTATTTAAAAAACAAGGATTGGCAATTTTCTCTGACTGGTACGATCTTTCATGATGCATGACACTTATTATTTGAGCTTACGATGCATAGCTTGCTTTTAAGCCTCTCCTATTGTGACAGCATCTAAAGATAAATTGAGAATATAAAGAAGGATTGATCTGTTTACTTCAGGGTATCAAAAAAGGACAGGCGCGAGTGCAGCTCTACAGTAAGTAAGACAAGTGCTTTGTCTCTTTTGTTCTGCAGGGGCATCCAGAGGTCTGGCATCCTGCCTCTCATTGAACTAATCATGAAATAAGTGAGACTTGATTGACATTGTTTTACAATTAATATCGCGCAATTCCAATGTGAGAGTGGAAAGAAATTAGAAGGGACCCTGCAGCTCGTATCCTGAGACCGATGACTACATTAATGGAGAAAGGCAGATGTAGTTCATTATGCAGACCCATTATGAATTGTTAAATAATGAAAGTCATATTGTTAAGTGTGTGGAGTCATCTTTAAAGATTGTCTTGTCTTTGTACTGACTTCTATAAGACCTGGTTTTGTGTGTGCATAGATATATTGTTATACTACTACTACTACTACGTACAGCGTACTGTATTTCCTTTAATTTTTGGTGTTCATATCATTTTAAATTCACATCAGACTTGCTCGAGGACTGAGGGGGTGTTATAAACTTTTGCCTGACTCGGTTAGTAGTATAGTACAAATTAAATGTCTCACTGCTGAAATGTCTCAAAGCCCTCAGCTATTCTACTGACTGTCTGCAGTGATGTTAAAGCACAGCCAGGCTTTGTGGAAAGCGTTCTTCTAGAGCCAGAAATAGAATTTCTTCTGCCAACTTTAATGAAATTGGATGTAGACTAATTAGCCACAGAAGGTCTAACAAACAGAACACTTACCACACTTCCCAGGACTTTCTTTCAGAGCTTTATTGTGAGGCACCAGAGTGAGATCGTTGTAGCCACAAAACATTTACAGTCTTTCTTGCAAAATTGCTTTCTGTTGCCTACCAGGCAAGTGTGGAAGACTGCATAATGTGCACACTGATATTACAAAAAGATAAATACAATTCTCACAGCATAAATAAACTGGAGGCCATATTGCAATGGGATCACACCAGACGCAACGACCCTTCATTTTGATCTCAACTACACTGCGTCAACTCACAAAGTTCAGTGATGCAATCAAACGCAACATGCTCCATGCAAGTTGACATGGTTTTCCACACACGTTAACGCATGTAAGCAATAAAGGGAATAAAGCTTAAAAAAGTTAAAAAAAATATCCAATCTTAGGCTGGTATAAGGGAACAGGGGAAAAGTCCAGTTTGAAAAGATAAAGTAAACCAAGTACAATTGCTAAACACACAGTTATGAAATAAAATAAGCACACAGAAGATGATTCATTTTTATATAAGTGTAAAAAAACCTTTCAACATATTTACCTCCTGAAGAAAGTAGCAATACTTTTAGGAAACATGACATCCCCAGTAGTGTCAACCTGCAGACTAGAGTCCCAGTCTTGTAGCTTTTTACCATGACTTGTATAAGGCAACAACATACACACTACTTTGCTATGTTGCAGTTGATTTATATCGACATTTTGAATTAAATGCTGCCTGATGAGCTAATGAACTATCTGTGTCTCTTCTCTGTTAGGATTTGGGAACATCTCTCCTCACACAGAAGGTGGGCGGATCTTCTGTATTATTTACGCTCTGCTTGGGATTCCCCTGTTTGGATTCTTATTGGCTGGTGTCGGGGACCAGTTGGGGACCATTTTTGGGAAGGGCATCGCCAAAGTAGAGAAGATGATTGTGGTGAGCTCCTTCGTATATATACGAGCTTGTGTTTGTCTCTGAATCACCTCGCTGTGTGTTTTTCTGGGTACAGTTAGCCATTTAAATACAGACAACACCATCACATGTAATTATCCAGGTGATGCCAATGCAGCTGTAAAGTCATATTGCCTGCGCTGCTATAAACAGCAGCTAAATAATACAGCTGAAGATTCACATTCAATATTGTACACTTTGCTACAGCAGTCAGTGATTAAAGTTGGATGCAGGTTCTGGGTTGCCATGTCAACGAACCTGGAAACCACTCATAAGTGCAGACGGTTTGTTGCAGTACTGAAAGCCTAGAGCAGTAAATAAACGGTTGTTTTCAAGCAATATAAGATCGGTAAAGATAAGTGTTGCTTTGCTTGCACTTTGTGCTGAACTCACTGCCCTTTTCTTACCTTATTTCTTTTTTGTGGCTGTGGAATAAACTAGCTGCACAAAGATGTATCACTTCTGTCCCTATACAACCAAAAACAGTATACATTCACATGATTTTTTTTCAGCCATAGAAGTTAGAAGGGACCATTTGTCATGGTAGACAGAATGGAAATAGACTCTGCCTGACAGTTGGGTTGATGCTTAGTCATTAAGGTTTTCATGGAAAATGTTCCTAGTGAAAAATGAAAGAGGTGGAACAGCTGCCCCATGTGCAAGCCAATTAGGATTGCATCTGGCAACAGTGAGTGTATTTCATCTTCACAAATTAAATACTTTCCTATTTTGCTTGTTCTTGTACCAGAATTACTGTAGAGGTGCTTTTTATACTGTTTTTTTTAAATTGAATGTTCAGTCAACAAAAAGACTGGAAGGGTAATAATAAATCGTAATTACAAAAATCTATATTACATTTAATCCCACAGATGCAATAAAAAGCAGTTAAGATAATAAGAAACACTTTATGCCACATGGGACATTTTGATTTGCCAATAGTGGTACACAAAGTTGCAATGATCTTCAAACAATATGTAGAAAAACAAGGCACTCAAGTGATAAAATGAAGACAAACAGATTTGAAAAAAGTATATGTGTAATACAATGCAGATGCCTTGTGAAGTTAAATAAATAATAACATTCGCAGTATAAAAAGGAGACAATAAAAGCAGGCAAAGAATCATAGATTTTAAACCAATTATAGTAAAATGGCTTGGTTACTATGATAAAATATAAGACCCTAAGTAGAAGTAAGTAAAGGATGCAGTGAAGCTGATTAGTATATTCATGTGAATCGTTAAAATGAAGGCGAGAATGTTGCCGTGTGTGGTGGCGTATGATACATTGGATCATAAAGTGAGGCTTTTGTCCTGAAGTGAGCGACGGTTACATTAATGTAGAAGTCGTCAGAACGCAGAGGAGTGAAAACAATTCCACATGCGTGTGTCATGAAGAAAAAACAGCACAGATGTTTGCAGTTACACATCAATTTGTTTAGAGCGAAGAATATATTAGAGGATGAGATAACATCAGTGCGTCTGGGTGTCACAGCACTGTGAATGGAGACATGTGCAGTGTGTTGGCTGAAGAGTCAAAACCGGCTAATATCAGGGATCAATTGGATCAATTCAGATGGAAATAGTTTTTCCGTTTTTTACCCTGAGGGATTGAACCAGTTCAGACTGCCTTCGGGTGGTGTTATTAACCCAATCAGCCGTCTTTACGTCCGGGATGACGGAGTTCCCCAATGACTGCAATCAGAGCCAGGGATACAGAGAGTTCGATTTATGTAACAGAGCCACTTTGGTTTTGGTAAGGAAAAGATTGAGGTTTTGTATTAATGTTAATAAAGTGCACACACCCTTTCTTGTGCCTCAAGGCAATGCTAGTTTATTTATTTATTTAGCGCCATTTAGACATAAGGGAATTTAAAGTGGTTTATAGGGGCATATAAATACATTGCACATAAGACATTTAAGAAAACATTCAAATGATATCAAACAAGCAATTAAAAAGTTAGTCAGTGTTGATATTTTCAATATTTATCCAAAAACAATCCGTCCCTATCCTTAACCAAGTGCTGTGAGTGCCTAAACAAAACCATAAAAGATTTGAGTAAGGCATTTATTGCTATTAAAGGACAATGTATCTGGAAAAAAAAATCTAAAATGGAAATGCTGTCATGTAACATTTAACTAGTGTAAACACTGTGACTTCCCCGATACTTTAATAAACATTGCCTCATAATTATGTTTAGAAATACATAACCTGAGTGGCATTTTTTATTTACTCTTGCAAATACATCATTACATAATTCAAAGGAAACACTATTTTGCAAATAACCTATGCAGTAGCAGTAGTAGAGAGTCCTTTATAATATCGTTTTTCTACCAGAGCTCATCTAAATAGGATGTCACTTTGTACCTGCGTGCAGTCATCAAACACCTGTAATGCTGTGATAAAAGACAGACCAAAACAGTCTCTAATTTCAAGGTAAGAGCCTCGTTTGTCGATATAAAATCCCTTACACTAGCAATATAAATTCAAGTATCAGGTTAATTAAGATCCTTTTGATTTATCCCTGGCTATGTGGCTTCCCTCCCTGAAGAGGAGGAGGGATGAAGGCAGCTGGCTGGAAACAATGGGAATATATGGACTGTAGCAGCTGCTTTGCAACTGAAGATACTGGCTGGAAAACCAACTCGGCTTCTCCCTTTGGAATACATTAATGCGTGGTCTTCAGCTAATTGGGTTTTATAGGACTCACTGTTGGTCTTCAAACTGTATACTACTGTACTTTTCTGTGTGCAGCGGGTACATTAGACATCACAGACTCAGTGAAGTGAGGCCTGTCTGCTCTGTATGCTTCCCCTCAGAGACTCTGTGCTTTGGTCTTACATAACGGGAAGGGAAAAGGGCACGATGCATGGGGAACCAGCTAAAAGCAGTCACCTCAAGTGAAAAAGAAGCACAGAGAAAGACTGGATTTAGAAACCACTCCTATGTTGAGTACCAAAGAGGGTTTTCATGGACCCTGTCTTTCAAAGAATCTCTGCTGACAGCACAGGCTGTAACTGCAATGCATCCATTTATGATCGCTCGGGTGGGCGTGCCATCTGACCGAGAAAATGATGTCACATGAACTTGGCAGACTGAGGTTTGAGATGTTACAAAATAGCAACTGTATTCCTGGAAAGATGGTGAAGGAAGTGATTCCCAATGTGAGAGGGAGAAAAAAGAAATCACTGTGAAATGATGTAGTGTTAAATATGCCACATGTTGATTTCCTTTAATGTCTTATGCTACAAATCTGCCTTAAACTATATAGTGTTAAATGTTTTTGTATCATCTATTCTTTGTATCAGCTATTCCTCTCTTTCCAACCAGAAGTGGAAGGTCAGCCAGACGAAGATCCGTGTTATCTCCACTCTGATCTTCATCCTGTTCGGGTGCCTCATCTTCGTGGCGCTGCCAGTCATCATCTTCAAGCACATTGAGGGCTGGAGCACTCTGGAGTCCATCTACTTTGTTGTCATCACCCTCACCACGATCGGCTTCGGGGACTTTGTCGCTGGGGAAAAAGGTTTTTAGATTTTCCTTTTGATTTATTGAGTTATTCCCTCAGATAGTGTGACTCGACAGATTTGCGCCACATGTGTTCTGACATTTTTGTAATGCATCTAAATCCCTGCAATATGTTTAACTATCCCATCTGTCAAACAAGGAGTCTACTCTCATTACTACATCAATACAAAATAAAACAGTTTTCACATAACATGACGTAACTTCAAGTAATAGGAATCTCAGGCTATGAAATACGTGATATACAAAAGATTAAACACAATATTTCTCTTTTGGAGCATTTATCAAAGCCATCCCAATACCTGTAACATCTAAAAGAATAGTTTGACAGGCGGTATCAGCTTGATTCCTCCTGCTTGACTACCAAACCGGTACAGGCAGAGGGGAAAAATCCCAACCACTTAGCTGCTAGATTAAATCTCCCTCAATGGGCCTAATGATTATAGATTAGACCAGTGTTACTGGAGCTGGCCCAGGTGGTGTAAAGTGAGCCTGGACCAATGTCACTGAAGCTGGAGCTGTAATGGCTGTTTATTTAACTGCACAGCGAGCGGGCTGTCTGTGCAGCATCATACCAGTTGATTTATGGAAGGCTCTTCCATAAATACAGAAGAGTGACTGATGACTGATTTTATTTTTATTATTGGAGGACAGCGTCAGTTTATGCAACTGGCAAGATGCATCCAGTACTACATAAAGTGTCGTATCAGACATGTTTCATATATAGTATTCCTTTAATACCCAATTTACTCTTTTATTTATTTTTTACAAGTCTTTTTATTTCATCATAGAGTACAGTAATCCATGCCATTTCATTTATATTGTAATATCACAGTACACTCACTACACTCCCCCCTCCCTCCACACGGGCGAAACCAAAAAAAAAATTACTCTTTTTAAAGACCTTTTCTTATGTCACTGAACAAAATATCCCCACTTAAGAAGAAAAGAAAATACTCATATACTTTGACTTGGATTTGAATGAAGTGGCACATGGAGCAAATCCACCATATTGTATTTTTAACAATGCACTTTAACCTATTTTATAAATAACAATGTTAAACATGTGATTGTCAGATTAAATATTTACAATATTGATCTAGGAATAATAGTGGTGGTCATTTTAATTCTAGATCATCTCAATTTGACCCCCCTCTTTATATTATATATTCCTACACAGTGGACTTGCTCAGGACTCAAGCCTGCTTGGTTTTTGTTTTTAATTGGTAAGTAACACATGTAACCCAGGAAAATCTAACTTCTATAACCCACTTGTCGTGTCACAGCAGGTGGGTCAGATAATCCAGAGTTTCTGAACTACTACAAGCCCGTGGTGTGGTTCTGGATCCTGGTGGGCCTGGCCTACTTTGCTGCTGTGCTTAGTATGATTGGAGATTGGTTCCGGGTCATATCCAAGAAAACTAAAGAGGAGGTACGTACCGATGTGCTACACGTTATGTCACACCAGAGGTTAAGCAGTTAATGAATTGCTTAATAAATCAAGATGCAGCTGTCCACACTAAAACAACTCAAAGTCTTGCCCAGTATATTGATCTAATATCTAGTCAGAATATGTCTTTACACTTGAAATTATAACTTCAGAAGTAACAATGCAGTGAGATATCAGGTCTTATTATTAGACAATGCTTCATCTTGTTAAATCAAATAATCTTATTTTGAGTTGTATCTCAGATGAAGCACTGGAAAATCTGAAAACAGAAGACTTTTGAGCATTTGCGGTTTATTTTGTAATTTCTCTGATTCTGGTGAAATATAGTTCAAAATAAGTTCTGCCAGCTAATTACAAGATCTGATTTATCTAAATATCCCTTCTTATTTCAAGGAATCTTTCCAAGCAAATGTTCACTTGTTCTATTGGCAGATGTTTTTACTTATTTCAAGTGAAAACACCTTGTTTTCATTATTGTTTAACTTGTTTTTGGAGCAGCATTTTTGTCCAGTTCAGATAAAGCTTCATTACTGAAGATATTACCTAGATGTGTTTCCTGAGTTCTAAAAATGTACTTGATGTAAAAAAAAATGTAAAAATGTACTTATTAGGGACTCATAACACAATTAAAATACATGTCATGTAAGTTGGCTATTAACCTGCATTACACCACTTTATGTTGCTGCTGTTTTATGTTAAACCCTAACTAACTGGATAAATGATCAATTGTTGGTAGAGAGACATTTGCAGTAAGTTCAGGTGTGATTACATCCATCTTCCCTTACAATGCAGAGTCACACTGTTGTACAGATCACTCTTTCATCTGAAGTGATTCATCTCTTTGGCTGCGCCTTGTGAAGTAAATGCCATCTCGTGCATGTGGAGGATTAAATATCTGATGTGTTTCCAGTTGCTGCTGAGTAATAACAAAACCCCCCCGTTCTGACAGATTAATTATTTACATGAGAAACGGATGGAGAGACACTCACTTCAAGATACTCACCCAATCTCCTGGATAAACAAGACACATTCAAATGCTATTTCTTTAATCTTTAGAACATAAGATCATACTGCGATCTGGAGTGTAAATCCTGCCCAGGCATTATTAGGAGTGTGATTTGTTAGGCTGTGAGCTGAGGATGAGGTTTCAGTGGGAGATTATTAGGGAAGTAGGAGGGGGGAGAAGGATTTGGCAGAGTAAGTGATAACAAGGAGGAGAAAGCACTTACTCAAGTTTTTGTGCTGTAGTGTTATTGTGTGTCTTGTGTGCGCACACGGACAAAACCCATACCTCATAAATGTTAATATTAGTACTCAAAAGTGGCTTTACAAGCAGCACACCTCAGAGCCTCATAGATAATTAAACAGCCTAAAGAAAGAGGCCTAATGCAATATGAAGGCAAGATCAATTATGTGGTTGTTGCTCTCTCCTGCATTGCTACTTCAGGACTAGAAATAAATCAACTCACAGCCTCCACAAACCTGGGCCATTAGATCGTACACACAGGGCGTTCCGTTTATTTATTGATGTCCTGCAGTTCAGAAATAACTAACTGTGGAGAGGTGGGTGGGTAATGTGCGAACATATCTACACTTCTCACCAACTGCCTACAAATGTGTAGAAAAAGAGGAAATTACATCTTGACCACCCTACTTCGTAGACTTATTCACAAAGAAAATAAATCCTCTTCGTCTATATGATTACAATTCTAACTTCTTATGCCAATACCAGACATGTTGCGAAATTTGCCAAGGTGTCAGGGGTTCGATTCCCAGCCCCAGCAGTCAACATGTCAACGTGTTGTTGGGCAAGATAGCTCGCAAACTGCTCCCGTATGTCTATGGTGATTGAGCTGTACTGTATGCAAGTAGCTCTGGATTAAAGCGTCAGATAACTGACATTTAATATAATGCCTAATTGGTTTCCTGCCTAGAGTTAGATTAGAAGATTGATACCACTTCAGTATCTGTTCGGTAAATTCATGGCTACAGCCAGCAGCCATTTAGCTAAGAGGATAATGTGTTTGTAAGCTTCACAGGTGATTATTGGTGGATCTTATATGATCACCATAATAATGTGTTGACAATCTACTTACCTTGCTGTTAGGAAAATACTGAATGTACTCTTCCAATATCAGAGTAGCACATGATAACAAAGGCCCAACTGTAACTGTGTACATGACAGGGTGTATGATTATAGAAGAGCGTCAGGACACACAGTTTGAGGCATAATAGCTATGTGACAACGATTAACATGATGATTCAGCCTCTATGGAGATAAACATATGACAAGCATGATCATTTCTGACGTGGGTCTGATGACTACTTCCATTCTTGCAAGGATTAATAAATACATGTATCCTGTTATTGAAGCTCAAGCCGGCGATGAGTGATATTTTTCTAACACTTGCACTAACCTTGAGGTATATTTATCTACAGACAATAATCCTAAATCTCTTTCTGCAGGTTGGGGAGTTTCGGGCTCATGCAGCCGAGTGGACAGCAAACGTGTCGGCTGAGTTTAAAGAGACACGGCGGCGACTCAGCGTTGACATCCACGACAAGTTCCAACGCGCTGCTTCCATCAAGCGCAGGCTGTCCTCCGAGCTAGGGATCAACCAGGAGATGACCCCTGGCAAGAGGTCGCTGTCCACCACGCTGTGTGAGGACAGGGAGGCCTACCCCAACTTGACTCTCTCCCTCAGTCCCGCCACAGGGTCCTTGGCCAGGAACGGCAGCCTGTACCTGAACGGCCTCAGCCCGGACTACGCTGACAGGCGGGAGTGCACCTTCATCGAAAGTCTCAATTAAGGAGCGGCGTGAATATGAGATTTAGGGACAGCGGACAGGAGTTACAAACACAAAGGCCCTCTTGTGCTAATTGAATGAGCATCTGTGATACGGTAAGAGTGCGCATTCATTGATTGGATCGTGCTCCGATCATTGCTTGAGAACCTTGAAAGTGACTTCAACGCAGATTAATCGCCCGGCTGCGCACTCTTATGTGCGTGTTTTGAAAAATCAAACTAAACCTCATGATGTGCCAGCTACAGCCTCCATTGTTTCAATGCAGGACGCCGACTTGCTTTCATTGTGTCTGTACCAACATGATCGACAGCTGTGCTAGCGATCGAGCCAAATTAGAAGCGAGGTCCAGACTGGAACTAATGATTGTATCAGCGGCTTGAGTTTGCAAACTTATCTCACGAGCAGGAAGGAAATGAAAGCCCATATTGAAGTAGCAACATACTGGACATCTTTTTCTCATATACTCAGAAACAAGCCTGTGAAAATACAGTAATAAATACATCCAACAAACTTAGAAAGCAAGCATGTATCTGTGCTCGTCTCTTGTTACATTTCCTGAGGCCCTGAAATCTGCATCAGATAAAGAGGATCCTCACTGCTAAAAAACACTCCGTAATTAACAATGAACTATGTTCTCCACCAGGCAGCAGTCCTGTGCTTACACTAAGGGCCCCTACACATGGCGGCGTGCGTTGACACTTCAACGCTTCTGCCCATTCACTTTGAATGGGGTGACGTCACGCTTCGCCAAACTGCATTGTGGGAGCAAAGCATAGATTTGGTCGCTTCAAAAGTAGAGCAATGTTCAACTTTTGAAGCTTCGACGGAAGCGTCAGCCAATCAAATCATAGCCAGTACAAGCTCTAGCCAATCCAAGAAGGGCCAGACATGTGTTGTTCATTACATAGGTATGCTGCAGAATGGGAAGAAGTTTGACACGCTGCTTGTGTGTCCGGGGCGGGAGATTCAGGTGATTGGTTGTTGGTCTAGTTTCAGACATGCCCGCCGGCAAGCGTCAACGCACGCCGCCGTGGGTAGGGGCCGTAAGGAACTTGGCTTTTTTTCTTTATAGTTTACACTTCTTCCAGTATGACTTTGTATGCCTTGCATCTGATCAATCTGTCCTCGCTTAAGATATGAATGTTGACATTTGTGTCGCTCCATTACTAACATTCAGCTTCTCACCCTAAGGAATAATCCACTTGTGCCTTACGAAGAACGAAGCTGAACATGTGAAGATGATGCATGACGGACTGAGCTACACTTGTTTGTCCACTCACACTTGTTATTTATGAGCACAGTAGTAAAAAAGGCATATTCATGAGGCTTCTTTGAATAAAGACAAACGCAACATTTTCATTTAGGAATTTAAAGTATGCAGTAAAGGAACTGTTTCTTAACAACTGGGGAAATGTCACCTCACTGTCTGCCAGTGCCATTAGCCATTTCACAGCAGTCCTAATGTGTTAAAGGAGTTACATTTACCACACAGAGCCCGGCTCACTGATCACAACCCATCTCCCTTATACCAAAGTAATGATCCTATTTCTCTGAAAGAGAATCAGAGATGCTGCGTTCAAAGGGTCGGGAGTGCTTCCAGTTATTTCTTGAAATTGAATCCTATGTTATGTTTTTTTTTTCATGAAACTGATACAGAGAGCTTGGTGCATCATCACTGTCTGATTTTTCCCCAGGAGGAAACAAACCATAGCATGTATGTAACTGTGGCTTATTCACGCTTTTCACATATTCTTTATGCTTTGCCAAAACTGAATGTACATCATCAGTGAGCTGTTTGCTGTCTCACTGCGGTCACTAAATATCCAGGCTCTGTTAGGTCTATCAGTCGCATCACGTTTAATTAGAAGTGTTGATTTAAATAAACTCCTCTCTGCGGCTGATTTATAGTGCGTTGATTAGAGATGATGTAAATGGTAGGAATGTCATGGTGCAGTTCATTTAAATTACTTTTGTTGCCCGACATACCACTGTTCGTGTTGCCAAAGCTTATTTACATTTAGAAAATTAATTATAATGCATTACAATTAATAAAATAAAATACAATTAAATTGACAAAGTCATTCAAGGTAAAGTTGGTGGAACACATCTTATTTTTATATTTAATACTGAAAATCAGGCAGAACATCTTATTTTAATATTTTATACAGGCTTTTTTTTTCAATTAGGATGGGAATTAACAGATTTGTATGACATTTAAGGCTCTGGTTTCTCCAAGTTGAAGGGTTTGAATTGTATCTTATGGAATGTTTTTCTTTTTTTAATCCAGTATAATATGTCATATTCTCAATATGTTTGCTAGTGCTATAGACATTTTGTAGCATTACAGTAAACAGTAAATACAATATAGCGTGACTTACAAGACAGTATGCTGTATGTGGCCTATCTGCTATACCAAATGTCTATAATGTATGGGTTATCAGGTGAAAAAGAGAATATGTTTTGCATAAAAGTGTGGCAGGACAGAGGACCAGTTGCACCAGCTCTTCATAGGTTAAAAAATGTAACCTAATTGTAACTTTAAATGGAGATTTATTTTGTTGTAGTCTGTGACCAATTGCCCAAAAGAGACCAAGTCTTACATGGAGATATATGTGTTGGTCAAATCACACAAACGTAGCAATGGATTTAAGAATGGCTGGTGGAACCCAGGTCACAAGTTTGCTCTCTTTCTCTGTTCTAATTGTCCTGGTTTTCTTGAAAAGGTTGTCCTAAGGCTGAGTATTGACTGTAAGATCATGAGCTGTCATATGTAATCAAGTCAAAGAGGATCCACAAATTGTGAACAAAATAAGGAAGATATACTCTATCCAACATGGTTGGCTTTCTAAAAATACCATTATGCTATTTCCTTGTGTTTCTCAGACGCAATCAATAGTATCAAAACACACACAATATGTTACAGTGAGTTGCAACAGACTACTAGTACATTTATGCCTGGGGGAAAGCACTCCCAGCCTTAGTGCAGCTTCAAAGCGGAGCCCTCAGAAGTCGTCCCGTTGCTTTCTCCCAGCCGGCCGTGTGATTGACAGCCACTGAAAGGCGAGCTGTCAGTGCTGCAGAGAGTCAAAGAGTGCTGTCGATGGAGCGTTATGTAATATGTCAGGCTATTCTAGGCCATATATAAGGATACCCATGCATGATAGGGTTTATAGTAGAGTGTGTGTGCAAAAATGAACGTGTGAGTGCGCAAGCCCATGGGGTTTATCAAAACTCATTTAATTTCCTCCCACAGTATTTTCACGGGCATCGTCTCCTTCTCCCAGGGTGACAGTTTTTAATCAAGTCTTTGGCTGCATCAAAATCCCAGTTCAAGCATGCTGAATGTACCTATCCATTCATGACGGCACAAATGAGCTTTCTTATTAATGTAAACACATTCATGATTTAACGCTGTGATTTATGCTGTGATATCAGCGGAAGGCTTTTTTAAGCCACTGCCCTCATTTTAATAAAAAGACCTGAGGCCATAACAATTATGATAACGGTGTTATTTCAGACAGTTGTAATTAAAATGTGCATCAGTGAGATCCATTAAATCTTTGGTTTGAATTTGGTTAACTTTCTAAAATGTATGCTTAAAAATATTTTCTAAATGTGACGCAATATGTATAGGTAAACAAAATTAACAGTTTACTCAGTTTTTAATTGCCAATAACCCATTTGTAGAAATGCGCAAATATACATGTAATGGGTTATGAACGCACATGCACATTTTATAAATCAACATGATTTCAGTGTTGCATGCCACTCTAAATGTTAGTTCCAGTTATAGCTCAGGTGCGTCAATAATTGCTGGCTTTGCTTTTGGCAACCATATGTTTCAAGTATGTCCATATGTAAATGTCGGTGTGTCGACTCAAATCATGACAAACTTTTCAGAAGGTTTAGAATAAAATATTTTATATGCAAAAAAGCTCTGAAGTCCACTGTTTTATTTAAACTCTTTGACATGTATGGCATCATTTTATATTGTCATTATTGTCAGCAAATGTATGTAGCACATGCTATTCAAACATTTGTTGGGGACTACGGTCAGTGACAGATTAATACACATTTAGTAATAACTACAGTGCTCATGATGATGGTAGTGTTTAGTTTTTGTACTGTCATATTGCATTCCCAGGTTAGACATTTGTCATAGTGAATTTCCACTCTCCATTTTTTCAAAACAATTATACTGCACTTGTCCCAGAACAACCTGCAGCAGGCTGTTCTGTGCCGCTCAATTATACAAAACACAAAGTTGTTGTAATCACATAAACACAACGGCAGGCACTGGCTGATAATGGATCAGGGTGACAAAATGTTCTGAGTCATAAGCTACAAAATGTTCTTCATGGCTCACAAGCGCGGTGTGTGGACTCAGGAAACTGCCACGCAGTACCTCTGCATCGACACCTTCACTTAAATTGTCTTTACTTTATATGCTTTGTTTGAAATGTTGCCTTTGTACTCTCTGTACGGAGGGAAGAATTCACTCAGGCTGTCTTCCACCTTCCTTTACGAAATACATTTATTCTCCCACACAACGACAGAACCCCCTTTGATTATTGTCTTTGACGATTTATCTTCATGCAAACTGACAGGTAGAAGATATGGTGTGACATTGTGCCCCACTTCACAGCATCTGTCTTGTCCACAAATAAGACCCCAAGCACATTCACAGATGCTGCATTTCACCGAGAGGACACGACCCTATACTCTGTGTCCTTCAAGCAGAAGCAGTATGATTCATTGCTTATAGACCTGCTTTATAGAGAACCAAACACAAAACATGCAAGCTCTTTCTTAGCTCAGGAGAGGTCTTTTGTAAGGGTTTAAACATGCAGAATCAATAGATGTATTTCATTTGGTAAATTGGAAATGCACAGAGTATATTTTGAATTTTGAGATACCCTTTAAAAGTTTTGTTGTAAGCAGTTTGAATAGCAGGGAGTAGACTGTGTTTAAGTGTATTAGTGAACCCATGCAGTCCCATTAAAGCACTGAAATGGCTGCTGATAAACCTGAATGCAATGAGGGATTTTGTTTTCATCCTCAGACAGGCAGACAGCCCGGTCGGAGGTGAGTTGGGTCATTAGCCATTCTGTCTGCAGTGACATCAGAGAAAAACGGTGACTCAGCCATCAACGAATACCGACTCTAGCTGAAGAGGAACATGGAGAGAGCAGCAGTTACCTCACAACAAGAGTCAAGAGGTGTGTGTGTGTGTGTGTGTGTGTGTGTGTGTGTGTGTGTGTGTGTGTGTGTGTGTGTGTGTGTACGTGCGTGTGACAGGTCTTTCACAGACTGTCAAATTCAACAGATTTATTCATCTTATAATTGGCCTCATTATGTTTTTTCTCTTCTTTTTTTTTAATGCACCTGTTATGGTGTCCATCTATTAGACTCTAGCTAGCTCATGTGTGACCACAAAACTAACTGTTGAATGAATGAGAGAGATTTTCTTTTTTTTCCGACCCACACATTTACTTTATTAGCATGTGCTCTGATTCTGAACTGAAACACACCTGAATGGGATCATCAGTGCAGGCACATAACAAAGTGTGCCAGGATCTTTGTATCCCATCAAATAGGAAATATCTTTCTTGTGTCGAAAATAAAGCTTTTAGGGAACAGTGCGACATTTTGAAAAATGTTGGACTGAAAGAACTATTTCAGTGATGTCAATTAGCATAGCATAAACATTGGAAAAGGGGGCAACATATTGCATGTCTACTGGTACGGGTCTTATTTGTTACTTTGGACAGTGTCTGGTTAACTGTTTTGCCTTTCTTCCTTAGATATTGCTATGCTAAGACAAGCTAATTGCGTCCAGGCTTCAGCTCCACTCTCAATACATGGACGTTTTTATATGTATTATTGTAAAACAAAATCTACAAACCAAATGTAATCCTAATCAGTTAATGTCACAAATCTGTATTCTTCTTTGATTTCTCTTAAAGATGTAAAACCTGTAAGCCCCTAGTTATGTTGGATCTTAACAATCAAATAATCACAAAAACCAAACAAATCAACCCGACACGAAACACCAACTTTCAGCTCCAGATGGGTAATGATTTAAACTTTGACCTCCCTGAATATAACAGTATTTTCCTGCCGGGTCCAGGGTGTTCAGAGGATATCCTCTCTTGCTGAGAGGATGAATGACATGCTGACCTTTACTGCATCTTTACTCCCTGAGCAGCATATAGTTAGAGAAGTTGTCCATGATAAAGAGAAATAACAGCAACCCCACATAACTTTTGGCATACATTATTATAATTTGTTTTCCATGCAGGTATGCTTTACGAGACAAAAAAGGTCCCAAAATAACTCCTGACATAAAGAACAAGATAAAGTATTGCCACAATCCATCACTACAGACTCATTTCAAGGCTAACTGTGCATTTTCAGTCATAAAGCATGTGTGTATGTTGGATTATCATATCCATTTCACCTCAATATATTCATATTTGATGAGAAGTTGAAGCATTTCTAGGAGGCTGTGCAGAAGGAACAATTTTTTCAAGACATTAAAGTTAACAAGCTCAGGTCTGAACGGATTTTCAATCCATTAGACTCATTTTTGAATTGATAGCACAGATGTCGGTTTCCTCGAAATGGGAATTTGCTAATCTCACTCTCTTTGAAATCAGTTGAAGGAAAAGATTGTCCATCTTTGAACAATTCACAAAAGTGCCCTCGAGGTGGATTTTTCAGATATTAAGACTATTTTTACAAAGATCTTAAATTGATTGCATCTTAAGGTAAGTTTGGGTCCAAATGATAAGTGAAATGAGCTCTAATATTGAAATTGAAAGTGCCCTAAACACCATTATAAAATGTGATAGTGTCAGTGGCCCTAAAGCAACCAAGACAAATCTAAAAATATACTAGGGCAGAGTTAACTAATATAATCTATAAACAGCAATATTCCATGTTGTGTAATGTTTAGTAGGTACATATTGGGTAGTTTAAATTCCCAAATCTGCATTGTTCCCTGAGCAGAGAGATGTCATGGTTGTTCGGTATAGGTCAGTGTGTCACTGGGGTCATGACAGTTTTTTTGTTTTTAATCCATTTTGCACCTGCAAATTCTTTCTGAGAAAATACCTGATTGCTCTCTGTACCTCTTAAGTCGGACACTTCCCTTTAAACGTTGTCTCAAAGCGCACACGACTGCTGTGCCCTCGCTGTTAGCAACTTGTAGCTAACTAGCTATCAATTATCGTGTGCCGTACCAAATGGTTATAGGTTGCTCAATTAACCCAACAAACAGTGGGTTCTTTTTAAAATCAGTATAATGTTACGTTTGTTAGATATAGAAAAAAATGTGTTTAGTGCTGTTTTCAACCCAGCAACCCATGGATGTATAAAAAGAACAACAATGGAGTGGTCCCTCCACTTCCGCTAGCCTAGATGGCTATCGTTGGGTATGGGAAGAGCGCAGTGCTCCAAACTCAACTTTTTCACCGTTAAGAGTGCTCATCATTCAAAGTACATTTTGCCATAGGGCCTACTTCACATTGGATGCACTTATGCACCCACAATAGGACATGTAACTTAGTAGGGGAGAGTGAGGTAAGTTGAGACATTTTTTAGTTATGCTTTCCTCTAAGCAAGGAGAAATGATAGTAAAAATGAAAACACACACCTATAATTCAGGATGTCTCCTATCAAGGGCAATGATAATAATTAATATTCGATCAAGGGCAGTGAAAATATTACTTCTAAAACAAAAAGTCATGTGACTCAACTTGCCCCAGTGTAGGGATAAGTTGATCCAGGTCAGGGGGTAAATTGAACCAGGTCAGGGGGTAAATTGAACCACTGTTCAAACCAGGGCATAACTACAACAAATCTTAAAGGTAACTATAAACAATAAATAACAAACCAAATACAAGCTTAGTTTTTCAAATATTCTTAATATAAATTTCGATTGAATTGATAGATTTTTTTTTAACATGTTAAAAGGGAAAGTAATCATACAAATGGTGATACAATTTCATACATCTTACCAATCAAACACAGGGTAAATTCAACTTTAAATGTAGCCTACAATGAGCTCTTATTATCAACTTGGCCTACTTTCATTAATTTCTCCATTGAAAAACTGGCTCAACTTACCCCAAGGCCCATGGTTCACTTTACCCCATAGCCACCATTTTAGAAAAAATAGCCTTGCATTAAAATTCTGAGTCATCTTTAGCTTAATGATTCACATGGTTTAATACGCTGCCAACACATCAACATATACAATATATGTGTTTAAACCTGGATACTTTTTTTTTACATGACAGCCGATATAGCTGACATCTAGAAAATGTACTTTGACAAGCAAAAAAGGTTTTTTTCTTGCATAATTTCTGGTCACTTGATTACAACTATAAGGCATTGCCTGGTTACAGGGGTTGGTTCAACTTACCCACTGGCTCAACTTACCCCCTTCTCCCCTATAGAAGTACCTTAAACAGCATCCCAAGTTTTTCCTGTTATAGGGATTATAGAGATATCATTCCTCAATGTAGACGATAAGGTGGGGAAAAAAATATGTATTTTAATTTATTAGATATGGAAGTTACCACTACATGATTCAGGAGTAAACTAATTAGAACATCATTGAAATGATTCTGAATGTCATTGTAGCTGCGTATATGTTCAAAGGGACTTCAAAGAGTGAAACGCCTGAAATAAGGTTCCAGTTTTCTCTCAAAAGCCCAAAGAAATAAAAACTCAAAACTGTCTGCAGGTGTTAATATGCTGGTGAAGGCTCCAGATCCCCTCTAGTCTGAAGACTAAGCTAGAAAAAGAAGATAGGAAGAGGAAAAAAGTATATCTCTAGAGGTAGAATATCTTTAAATGATAAATGACTCCTGGGGATCAAC